GTAGAAAATGCATCTTTGATGCCTTGGGTATTAGATACAGCTTTTTTTTTTTTTTACAAAAGGGCGACTGTCCTGCTACCGGGCCCCCTAGGCTTGGCAAGGCTCGACAGAACGGTAGCAGGAGGCTCGAACTTGATAGTTGGGAAAGACAACTACTATGCTTTGTGACTGGGAATACTACTGGGAACTTGGTGGGCTTATCATGAGCTAGGTTGGGGCGAGCACAGCGAACAACCTAACAACAGCTGTGTACACAAAAAATGATAGGAACGCGCGGGGCGCAGCGCAACCGGGAGCGTTGCGCCCCGCCCGCATAGTTAAATCGAGTGACATTGAGTGGTGGCAAGCGGAGAAACGATGTGAAATCAGACCGAGCGGTGTCGGGCAACATCAAGCGGTTGAGCGGCGCGATGTTGGGGGGAGTGGATTTGAGGTGGTGTGAGGTGGTGGCTGAGAGGCTGAGGGTGAATGGATGATGATGGGAAGGATGGTGACGAGGGTGGTGCATCGTGCATAGAGGATGAGGTTGATATGAAGAGGCTGCTGGTGAACGGCTCGGACGGGTATGGTCTGCCATCATCATCATCTGAGATGAAGGACAACGAAGGGCATGGCAGGTCTGTTTTCCCCCGGACTACAAGTGAAGGTTCGGTGATTTTGTTTTGCTACGTGGCAAGTGAAGTCACAGTTCGTTAGTCCTTATTGTTTAGTCGTATTTATTGATGGCTGAGAAAACGGTTACGTGATGGTTGAGTTGCCTTCGGGCCGATAAGGGAGGGGGTGAAGGTTTAGGGGGAGATAAACACAACATGATGAGAGGTCGGTTTTGTATGTTTCAATCCATAGTTTTAAGGATTGTCTGTTGCTCTTCGAGGCTGGAGATTGAGTGATCTCGTTTCCTAACGATCTAATTTTTGTTCAATTTGATGATTGTAAATCTGAGTTTTCTTTTCTGATTTCTGTTTTTCGAATCTATTTTTTGAATCATTTGGATTTTTCTATTCCGGACTTATTATGATAGGTAACTTTATGTTTTCAATTCGAATTTGATTTAAGATAGCGGACTCATGAATAATTTCAAAATTTTTTAAATAATTCTCGAGTTGATTATTTCATGTTGACGATCATAAATCAAAGCTTCGCCTCTGATCCCGAATAAAGTCTTCTAACTTTTAGATTCTCAATAGTCTCGTGAAGAATAATTCACGAGGTTGTTAACTCTTAATTTGAAATTTTTTTTTCTATTTTTTTATTATTCTTCAGGCTCTTGATACTGATACTCATAAATCAGATTTCGAATTATAATTTATAAAACTTGATTCTCAATAGTGATTCTAATTTTGTTTTAAATTCGGATTGCATGAAGTTTACTTCCTCTCATGAGTTAGTTTTGGTTTGGGGGCAGACAGGTGAAGGTTCTGATTAGTATCTAAGGTTGGGTAAGGTTGACAAATTTTAGATGGTGGATCACTTTCGTTTTTTCTTCTGCGAACTATGTGGTGAAGGAGGTTGGCTTGTCGCAAGAGGAAGTTGAGGGTTGTCTGCTTTCACTTTTTTTCATCTTGCGAACTATGGGTGGCGGAGGTCGGCTTGTCGCGGGATGTAGTTGAATAAAAATCTAGGAAGAGTGTGGGTGAGGATCAGTTGTCTTTTACATGCCTATGGAATAAGCATGAGACTGATGTGGAGGGGAGAATTTTTTTTTGATTGGTAGTTGGGGGAATTGGATTAGGGCACAACTGCAGTTGAGATGATGGCTTAGTTGTTATAAGTCTGCGTCGAAAGGTGGTAATGGGATGAGAGGTTAGGGTGCTACGCTTGTCTTGCGATGGAGTGAACCACTTTTTCCTCCTCTTTCAAACTATGCGGTGGAGGAGGTCGGCTTGTCGTAGGAAGAGGAAGAACTGAAGTCTGTTTTTCATCGCTATGGGATTTTGGTGAGGTCGTTGGTCTATTGCTCTTTTCTTCCGAACTATATGAAGGGGGAGGTCAGTTCGTCGGGAGACGAAGAAGAGTAGGGGGTGAAAGGAAATGGGAGGAGGGTGACTGTTTCATTTTCGCCAAAGTCGAGTAATGACCCCGGTATTTCAAACTTTCAAAATTCTATTCAGTTGCTGTTATATTTCAGAATAGATCTACTGTCAGAACGATGCTGGTTGGTGTTGGAAGTAGATGGCAGGATATCAAGCGTCCTACCCGGTAGGATGGAAATAAGGTACAACAGCAGCGAAGATCGTGACTCTGATGTAGTAAGTCTTCCCGGAGTAAGGTAAAGGGGATGGATGGAGGTTTCTGAGATATTTTCTGAAACTTTGCCTAGGTGAGTGGAAGAAGATGGTTAAATATCAAGTGTCCTACTAGTGAGGGGGCCAGTTGGTAGGATGGTAATAGGGTACAACGGCAACAAAGATGGTGGCTTTGCTGCAGTAAGACTTGTCGGAGTGAGATAAAGAGGATGCAGGGGGGTCTGAGTTTTCCTGAAATTTTGCCTACAGCTTGTTTTTATTTCTAAATCTAGCTCTTAGCTTAAGCCGGGTAATGGCCCCGATACCGCAAGCTTTCAAAATTGCTTCAAAATTTTAGGTAAATTTTTATATGGGACGTTGGGCCCGGTTCCCAGCATGTGCTGCTCCCCACAAATAGATTGGAGCTTTGCCCCCCCCCCCTTGAAAAAAAAAAGAGCTAGGTTGGGGCGGTCGATGGTTTTGGGATCCTGTTCGCAGCCCGTCAGGAGTGCGTTTTATGCCCCTGAGAATATTTTTTGTCGTCGTTCGTTATACGGTCGTTAGAAGGCTGGAAAAACAAGGCATGACAGTTTAGGGGGTGATGGCATCTTATTTGAAACTGCAGAACCGGTAGCTGCCTGTGGGACCGCACAGATTTTGGTCCATGACCGCGTAGGACCGGTAGCTGCGTGCAGGAGGCCGAGGAGGCCGCAGTCCTTTTTTGAAATTGAAAAGGTGCGGGTCCACTTTTCTCGAATAGCAGAGTTCCTCGAATAGAAAAAGTACACGTTGTATTGGAATACAACGTGTACGCTTTCTATTCGGATTTCGAAAAGAAAAAACTCTTGTATTCCGATAAAATTACTTCTTCTTTTTGTTGGAGGTCAGTGTCT